AATAGTTTCTGTCTCCTTCTGCTTTCAGCTCCAGACTGAGCCCAGACAGTGACTACAGCTTATTAATATATGGCTTGGATCCCAAATCCTGTTTTTACTTCATCACTTCTAAGATCATTCTTATTGTATTGCTTTCTAATTAGAGACCAGCAAGGGCAATAACTAGTTTCAACAGATTTTCCAGTATTGTGCATTAATGACCCATTCTCCCTTCTTTGCATATTTCACATAGTAGTCACTTACACCTGTACAAAATAGACGTAAGTCGCTGTACAATGACAAGTCATCATTCCCACTGGTGGGAACATTTTATATTATTTTTTCCACAGGCGTAATATCACTATCAATACATCTTGCAAAGCAGTGGGGGGGAAAAAAAAAACACATTTGAAATGAATGATCTGAAAATAAATTAAGGAAGACAGAATGCATCAGATTTAGAAAGCCATTTTGTAGACCAGGAGAAGTTTATTTCACAGGCTTTAAAAAGGCATATTTTACAAATAAATATATATATAAAAACCACAAGTGGATTACCGTATGACAACAGGATTCCAGTGAGCTGGTTAGTTTAGGGCAGTGGTTTGAAACGTTTTCAGACTCAAAGCACCCTCAGAAAATGTAAAAAATAATAAAGTAATTCTTCTGTTGCAAAGAAATCAAAGACCACAAGGGGTCAGAATGTTTTTAACACTATAGATTCCTATTTGAGATCTCCAGGTTTATTTTGTGAATCACATTTATAATGTTTGTGGCACCCTAGTTGAAAATCACTGGTCTAGAAAACCAAATGCAGCAGAGCAAAAGTCATTTAGATCATTTACAAAACACTTTGTCTCTGCTCAGGCTTGCAATATTTTGGACTGAATTCCCAAAGCCAAGTTGTTCGTAATTTAACAATGCTCTTTTTCAGAACACAGCTGCAACTCAGGTAACGTATCTAGGGTAGTTTAACATCCACATGAACATTTTTAGTTGAGCTGAAAGCCAGGGTTCAAGTTTTAGTTACAGCACTAACACTGTGAGGAGAAACTATGATAGGAGATTGGTTTGCTCATTCACCCAGACTAAGCCACAACATTGTAGGACCTACATGGCATAAAGAGTAAGAATTACAGTTAAGCAGCTTTTGCTTCATGAAGAGCTGGGGGAGAAAATCCTTGATAACATACAGCATGCTTTGAATTCTGAGTGAGAAAGGAGGCAGAACAGGGAGAGCAGTCCTGGAGATCACCAGGCAATCCTTCCAGGGGACTGGAAGATTATTTGTTTTAAAGGCTACATACTAGTGGCACTCAGTCCTGACAGGCTAAGGGCCACATGAGCAGTAAGGATTAACCAGAAAGGAACAAACACCATGTGCATTGTGGCACATATGTTCCAATTCAAAAGAGGAAGCAATGCATCGATTAAATCCCTTTGAAAAGTGGTAAGCCTCTATCGTGTTTACTAAATTATGTATAGGCTTGTTTTAAACAACAGAAAATAGATGGCCAAGTGCCGTATTAACACCTTTCTTTGGAGAGCAAGTGTTGGAAAGCAGAAGGTCCAGAAGCCATCAGTCTGAGTATCACTGTAGTCAATTAACCTATTGATGCATCTAGTCCAGGGGTGGGCAAAATGGCAGATCCGGCCAGTGGCCAGACTCCGTTTCCCAGCCACCCCTCCCCATGTGGCTGGGGCCAGTTTCCATGGAGATGCCTGATAGCATAAGGCCAGGGTTTCCATGGAGATCAGCCCCAGCAGCATTGGCAGGGTGGGCAGCAGGGCGCGGAGCAGCTCCAGAGCCAGGATGGGGTCTTACAGCAGTGACAGTGTGGTCCAGAGCCAGGGCACAGCTGTGACCTGCAGCCTCCATGCCCTGGACAGGGACATGCAGGCACAGTACCATGGCTCTGCCCCGGCTTCTTGCAGTGGTGACAGCATGGTCTGGAGCTGGGGCAGAGCCATGATCCACTGCCTGCACATCTCTGCCCAGAGCATGCAGGCTGCAGAATGCAGCTCTGCCCTTGCTCTGAACCATGCTTTCACTGCCACAAGATCCCAGCCTGGCTCTAGAGCACCTCCCCACCCTACCACATGCCCTGCCAGCAGGGACAGTGCTAAGGGGGAGCTTGGGGGGCTATAGGCACCCTAAAATTCACCATACCTCCCCACCCCCTGTAGCCATGCCTCCCAGCAGTGCCACCACTGCTGCCGCTGCCTGCCCTGCACAGGCAGTGACAGCTGAGTCCGCCCTGCTCACACCCACAGCAGTCTCCCCTCAACCCCCACAACATGAAGTGGCTGGTGCCACTGCTCCCTCCCAGCACTGCTGAGGCTGGTCTCCACAGAAACCCCAGCCCTGCACTATCACAGCACACCTGCTGCTGGGGTCTCCATAGAAACCCCAGGCAGAGGTTGCTGGGAAATGGAGTCCACTGCCAGCCAGATTCAGCCCATGGGCCAGACTTTGCCCACCCCGATCTAGTCTCCGAAGCCCAGTTCTTCACCGATGCAGTACACATTTGTATGGATCCACCAAAGCATACACGCAGATAATATATTGCTTTCACATGTACCATTCAAAACCACCTCTGCATATACACAGAGCTGGGAATCTGCAGTGTACTTCACTTCCCACCTTCACAGACGTGTTCAGAGGAAACTCTACAATGATAAACTCCTTCCTTTTAAGTGGGTCCAGTAGGGACTTGAGTTAGCTTTGTCAGCTTCACTGTACCACAAAGCTGTCATGACATGAAGGATCCCCCAAGGGGCAACATGAAACAACTACCCAACACACAATAACCCAATTTTCAGACCAATCTTGTTCTTATCAAAATAAAGAGAAGCTTAGCACCAATTTCAGTAAAAGCAGGATCTGAGTTGCATTTTTTCTGTTAAAGTTCAGAATCTCAGATGCTATTAGTTCCCTTTGTATGTGTTTAATAACTTTTGACCTCATCCCATGCAACCCAGGCTTCTTTTCCCTAGATTTTTGCATTAATAAGGCACGACACAGAACAGTTTATTCAGACCAACCTTTTAATCCATCACTTCTTAAAAATAAATTACCAATTTTTCTTCCCATGAAATATACATTACATTAAAATGTATAGGGTGAGAAAGGCAAAATCTTTCCATTAATAAAATGAAACTCTTTTCAGCCTTTGGTTTTGGTTTCATATATTTTTCTCCACAGTGTAAAGGTTCTGCAGAATTTGAATCAGGCACGAAAATGAAAGTAAAATATAGATTTTGGATTCACTTCAGACAGATGATGAAAAGCAATGGCATGGAAGATGAACACTTTATTTCTAAATGATTCTGAGACAATCCAACCTGGAAACACTTATTAAAAATGTTTAAAAATCAATTAGCTGATGTTTCAAGAGAAGTCCTCCCTGACAGTCTGTTTTACTGGATTTATTTTTTTTAAACTTACACAGTACTTTTCATCTAGTTATCTCAAAGTACTGTACAAACATCCATGAAACCTCACAATGTCCCTGTGAGCTAAGTTTATCCCTTTTCACAAGTAGGGATGCATGAAGTTTAAGTGACATGACCAAGTTCACACAGTGAGCCAGTAGCTGAGTTGAGAACAGACCCTGGAGCCCTGAGTCTTATTCCCTTGTTTACATCCCAAGTTTTTGTATAGTATTTTTTCAGTTTTTGATTGTTATCCTTCTATAAAATTAATCCCTTTGTACCATCAGATGAGTTTATCAGGAACAAGCTGATCTACTATATTGCTTCGATTATAAATTGACCTCGCAGTCTCAGGCTCAGTGTTAGGAAGAACAGCATTTTCCCCCTGAATATAAGTTAATAACTATGGATAAAGTCCTCCAACTGCTACTGGCCTTACAAAATCCCACAGGAGAATCAAACAAAGGAAAGAACATAAAGGGTTAAACACACTAAAAATATCAAATAAAAACTGCAACGTATTGCAGTGCTAAAATAAAAGTGTCTGACTTGCTATTTTTATTACATACACAAAAATGCCACAAGTGCCAAAGTCAAGACTGGGGGAGGAAAGGGGGCACCAATTACAGGTGAATCACAAGTATACGGCAAGTGCAATTTTTACGACTGTTTTGGAAAGGAAAAAAAAAGGTAGACTTATAGTCAGAATACAGTATTCTCAAACCTTCTCCGGCTTCATCCATGACTGTAAAGGTTAAAGCACTACTTTATCTGGCTTCTCAACTATTCTGATCTTAAAAAGAAAAAGACCACTCCCAAAGCTGAAGAGGAATACTGAGGTACTGCTGGACAAGTGACACCACCGTTATTCTTTTCTCTCAGCTACGTGAGTTTTATTCTGCAAGTCACAGACTAGTCTTTCTTTTTCACTCTCTTTGATATTTAGATTTTGGCCTATTGTGTGAACAGTGTCACAGAAAAACTATCTGAATTATTTCCAGTGGTCAAATTTGCCCTCATACCAGCAGAGGTCATTGCAAAAGATTACGTATATCCATGCTGCTGAACTCAGGCAACAGTCCCGGCTTTGTGAACATTTGGGAAATATGTACTCTGCTCCACAGCTCACCTCTTCCTGCTGAGGTGGGAATCAATGACAACACACTCAGCAGCTAAATTTCTATGGCTCTATACCACATAACGACTCTGGCCCTTGCCAGGGTAAGTAGTCATACCCTAGAAAAACGAAAGATTCAGCAGCCCTGAGCACCAGTCTACTGAGCTGCTGATCTAACTCTTGCTAGTTATTTATTATTACTATTATTATTATTCTCAGTTTCAAAATTGTTTAATAAATGTATATTTCCATAAAAGATCAACAGCCACTTCTCTGCATGTAAAGGTTTAAATATATAAAAACATTTTATAAAAAATAGTTTATAAAAAGCAAATACCCCTCAAGATTATAAACCTTGCCTGTAAATCTTTGTTACAGATTTATCTGGAATACAGTCTATCAAAGTGTTCTCTGTCCTTCTCAAAAACATTTTCAATTAAGCAAGAATAATAATGTCATTTTCTTGCACTTTTTCCCTTTTTTTTTTTTTTTTGGTACATCACTCTGCTTTTCCAAGATCAGTGGTTTGCCTTTGAGGTATCACTTTTCTTTCTTGTTTTTAACTGAGTTTTCTGTGACCCGATTTTGAAGCCGCTTTATGGGGTGGTCTTGACGTCTGACTGGTAAGACCAGCAATACCAGGAAGCCTAGTATGTGCATGTGAAAGTACATTGACCTAGAAAGAGAAAATAATATTCTTGTCAGTAATAAGATGAATGCTAAAAATTGTATTACTTCAGCACTACAGCCAGTTCTGCTGTACTGAAAAAAGAATAAAAGCAGTACAGCCAACCTAGTCTTCTATGTGACAAGCTTATGTCCTTGGATTTTAAACAGGATGATGGGAAACATCCTAGATCCACTAATGTCAATGGCATTTTTGCTAGTGATTTCAAGAGGGAGAGGGTTTTGCCCCTTTTTTTCCCCAGAGAAGACTCCAAACCTACAACCCTTTTTTTAATTCCATGACCCCAAAATATTGACAATTCAGAAAAGTAACCCCCCAGACAAATGACCTATGATTATACTCTGGGAATACACAAAACCTGGCCTTTTCAACTAGCCTCTTACTGTTAAAGAATATTCAAGGATTAGAGATGCATCAATATATCAGTCCATATCGTATCGGCAGTAATTAAAGGAAAATTGACATTATTGGCAATCGTTTTTTTTGGCTGGTGTACCTGATAATGTCACCAATAAATGCCACAGTCACATGGCCAGGAATGCAGTCCAGTAGCTTGGAGAGCAGCCTCCTGCCAGTAAGTCTGTGGAGAGGAAGGGGCATGGGGGGTAGATCGAGGCCTCCATGGTGAAGGCACAGCCAAGCCAAGATGGG